TAATTTTTTCGTACTTGTCACTCTTGATTTATTGCATATCCCGGTACACCGCCGGAGCCATCCATATAGAGTCATACTTTGTTTTAGAATCGAGTTGTAATCATTGAGTTGTAAATAAATAAAAGTGTGATGATCATCATTTAATAGAGCATTGTCCCAAAAAAAGAGAAATGCCAAAGAAAAAAAAAAGAAGGCCCAAAAAAAGAAAATAAATAAAAAGGGGCAATGCTACTATCTTTTTTTCCACACTTGTGCTTCAAAGTAGCACCATGATATAGCGAGTCTCATATATTGTGCTTCAAAGTAGCACCATGTTCTTCATATAGAGAGTCTCATATGTTGTCACTTTCATATACTAGTGGGAATTTTATATTATAGAATTTGGCTTGTATATTCCAATGATGGGCTTCCTCAAAATTGCCCTAGGTCTTCATGAGCAAGCAAGTTGGATGCACACCCACTTAGTTTCTTTTTGAGCTTTCATACATTTATAGCTCTAGTGCATCCATTGCATGGCAATCCCTACTCACTCACATTGATATCTATTGATGGGCATCTCCACAGCCCGTTGATACGCCTAGTTGATGTGAGACTATCTTCTACTTTTTGTCTTCTCCACAACCACCATTCTATTCCACCTATAGTACTATATCCATGGCTCACGCTCATGTATTGCGTGAAGATTGAAAAAGTTTTTAAAAAGTTAGAGTATGAAACAATTGCTTGGCTTGTCATCGGGGTTGTGCATGATTTAAATACTTTGTGTGGTGAAGATGGAGCATAGCCAGACTATATGATTTTGTAGGGATAACTTCCTTTGGCCATGTTATTTTGAGAAGACAGAATTGCTTTGTTAGTATGCTTGAAGTATTATTATTTTTATGTCAATATAAACTTTTGTCTTGAATCTTCCTAGTCTGAATATTCATAGCACAATTAAGAAGATTTGCATTGAAATTATGCCAAGTAGCACTCCGCATCAAAAATTCTCTTTTTATCATTTACCTACTCGAGGACGAGCAGGAATTAAGCTTGGGGATGCCTGATACGTCTCCAATGTATCTATAATTTTTGATTGCTCCATGCTATATTATCTACTGTTTTGGACTATATTGGACTTTATTTTTCACTTTTATATTATTTTTGGGACTAACCTATTAACCGGAGGCCCAACCTAGAATTGTTGTTTTTTTGCCTATTTCAGTGTTTCGGAGAAACAGAATATCAAACGGAGTCCAAACGGAATAAAATCTTTGGGAACGTGATTTCCTCACCGAACGTGATCCAGGAGACTTGGACCCTGCTCCAAGGAACAAAAGAGGCGGTCACGAGGGTGGGGGGCGCCCCCTGCCTCTTGGACCCCTCAGTGCTCCACCAACGTATTCCTTCCTCCTATATATACACACGTACCCCCAAGTGATCAGAACAGGAGCCAAAAACCTAATTCCACTGCCGCAACTTTCTGTATCCACGAGATCCCATCTTGGGGCCTGTTCCGGAGCTCCGCCGGAAGAGGGCCGTCATCACGGAGGGCTTCTACATCATCCTAGCCCCTCCGATGAAGTGTGATTAGTTTACCTCAGACCTTCGGGTCCATAGTTAGTAGCTAGATGGCTTCTTCTCTCTCTTTGGATCTCAATACAAAGTTCTCCCCCTCTTTGTGGAGATCTATTCGATGTAATCTTCTTTTTGCGGTGTGTTTGTTGAGACCGATGAATTGTGGGTTTATGATCAAGTATATCTATGAATAATATTTGAATCTTCTCTGAATTCTTTTATGTATGATTGGTTATCTTTGCAAGTCTCTTCGAATTATCCGTTTGGTTTGGCCAACTAGGTTGGTAGTTCTTGTAATGGGAGAAGTGCTTAGCTTTGGGTTCGATCTTGCGGTGTCCTTACCCAGTGACAGAAGGGGCAGCAAGGCACATATTGTATCGTTCCCATCGAGGATAACAAGATGGGGTTTATTTCATATTGCATGAATTTATCTCTCTACATCATGTCATCTTGCTGAAGGCGTTACTCTGTTTTTAACTTAATACTCTAGATGCATGCTGGATAGCGGTCGATGAGTGGAGTAATAGTAGTAGATGCAGGATCGTTTCGATCTACTTGTCACGGACGTGATGCCTATATACATGATCATGCCTAGATATTCTCACAACTATGCTCAATTCTGTCAATTGCTCAACAATAATTTGTTCACCCATCGTAGAATACTTATGCTCTTGAGAGAAGCCACTAGTGAAACCTATGGCCCTCGGGTCTATTCTCATCATATCAATCTCCATCACTTTAATCTTGCTTTGCTTTTTTACTTTGCTTTTACTTTTTACTTTGCATCTTTATACCAAAAATACCAAAAATATTATATCTATCAGATCTCACTCTCGTAAGTGACCGTGAAGGGATTGATAACCCTAATCGCGTTGGTTGCGAGTAGCTATCGCTTTGTGCAGGTACGAGGGACTTGAGCGTGGCCTCCTACTGGATTGATACCTTGGTTCTCAAAAACTGAGGGAAATATTTACGCTACTCTGCTGCATCATCCCTTGCTCTTCGGGAAAAACCAACGCAAGCTCAAGACGTAGCGCATACCAAGCAGTTTTTTCCCGCACCAGCAACCACCTCTCCACGTCAAGTCGTAAGACAGGAGCAACACCCTTGATGTCCTTGGCCACCACCGAAATATGAATAGAAAAGAAGCTTTCTAAGAAGGACTAGTTAAATTATCGCAAAAAGAAGTTCCTTAAGAAGGAATAAATTAGTGGCATTAGATTACTCTCAAAGAACGAAGAAAATAAAATCAAAATAATGATGTTTTCTAAGAAAGGATGAATTGGTGGCATTGGTATTACCCTCTAAGAAGAAAGAAAAAAACAAATAATGACAAAATTTGCACAAAATTAACAAAGAAAATATTTTTTTTTAATAATATGTAAGAATAAGCTAATAGTGATTTTTTTTCAATAAAGGAGGTTTCCTAAGAAGGAATGAATTAGTGACGTTGGAATCGCCCTTAATGAAGAAATAAAATGAAATGAAACTAAAACAAATTCAAAATACTGAAGTTTTCTAAGAAGCAATGAATTAGTGGCATTATATCACCCTTTAACAAGAAGCAAAAATGAAACAAAAACGAAAAATCAAAATAAGAAAGTTTTCTAAGAAATAATAGATTAGTGGCATCGATGTTACCCTTTAAGAAGAAAGGAAATAAAACAAGTAATGGCAAAATTTGCACACATTTTACATAAAAATTGTGATTTTTAATAATATGCAAGAATAAGCATATAATAGTTATTTTTTTTAAAATAAGTTCCTAAGGAGAAATGAATTAGTGGCATTGGTATTACCCTTAGAGAAGAAAGAAAATGAAATAAAATCTAAAATAAAAAAATGAAGAATAATGAATTAGTGGCATTGCTATTTCTCTTTAAGGATAATAAAATAGCTTGCACATAACTTTGCATTGAAATCGCACTATTTATAGTATGCATAAACATAAAATTGTGTAATTTTGGACATATTATATAGTATTTCAGTTATACATTTACACTCACTTAACATTCCAAAAGTACCTACAAAAATAAAACAAAATTGACTAATAAAGAAAAAAAGAAATAACAAAAGCAAACACATAAAATGGAAAAACTGGAAAAACGAAGGGATAGAAAGGAGGGCTGAATCTTCAGGCAACAGGCTTCAACCCATTAAAGAATCGACTGACCTAGAAGAGAGCACAATAAAAAATTCCCAGCCCAAAACAAGACACTCCAAACAACATTAAGAAAAAAGAGCACCAATCTTGAAGTAGCAATCAACAGTCAGAAAAATCGACTGACCCAAATTTAATTTGCAGGCAACTTACGTATAGCTAAACTAACCTTCTTTTTGGTAGCTTACATGTAATGTGTAGGTTAATGACATTGGACCTGCGAACCAATCTGTGATTAAATGGTTAAGAGGGGCAATGGTATCTCCAGCCCATCAAGGTTTTATTCCGGTTCAGTCTCTCAAAAGTGCTCACAGGATAGAGTGTGTGCGCATTCATAAAGGTATATGTATGAGTGGTTGCGTCTATATTATGTTAAAAAAATGGCACTGTATGTCATGCTCATGTTCCATGATAGCACTTAGAGGAAGTTACAATCATTTGTCACTCAATCTTTTGTTAATTGATTGAGCAATTTTCTTATCACGAATTAACAAAGGCAACATGCCATTGGACTCGAGTTAAAAATAAAATAAAAAAAACACAAACGGCACGAGGACACAACAAACAATGGCGACACCGCACTAGCACCTGATATTATTGGAACCCCTGGCTGCATTCCTGGACCCACGAAGCACTACCAATCGATGAGTCATAACATGACACCGTGACCGTGACCGCATCTCAGACTATGTAAAAGGTTAATTTTGTGAAGAAAAAAAACAACAGAACATCAAGTAGGTTGTTAAGCAACACGCAGAAACGACTTGTCTTTTTCTCTTTCATACATGGCATGTACAATGATGACATATGGATACATATGCTTCATGAAAAAAAGTAATTTGAGGTATCTATATAAATTTTTCTCTTTCTAATGCAAGCTATCACTAGTGGGTCTCATTAAGAAATAAAAAATAAAGACTCTATACACATGCATCTCTATTTTTCACTCCAACCTTTTCAGTTTTTGTCACCAGACCACACATTTTCTCTTCAATCACCCGTCTCCTGAAAAGTATCCGACTTGCCTATCCGAATCTATTTTACGTTATACTTGATCCTACATGACATGCGAAGAATATCTTGAAGCTATGCATTATACATGCACTTAAGCTACGGAGTATTTGTGTTATGTCCACTTGTTTCGGCGCATCTTGTACTCTAGTACAGGCCCTAGATCTGGCACGCCTGCCAACGTGCAGTTTAAACATTTTCTCAGAACAAAGCAAAGCCGAGCAAGATGCCAAGAGCAATCATGGCGAGCTAGCGAGCAAGTTTGGTGACAATGGCCGATCGCGGCGGCAAGGCACCAGCATGGACATCGGCGGCGGCGGCCGTCGACGTCGACGCGGAGGTGGTCATCGTTGGCGCCGGGATCGCGGGGCTCGCGACCGCGCTGGCGCTGCGGCGGCTCGGCGTGGGCGCGGCTGGCGGCGGCGTCCTGGTGCTGGAGCGGCACGCCGAGCTGCGCTCCACCGGCGCCGCGCTCACCATCTTCCCCAACGGCTGGTTCGCGCTCCGTGCGCTCGGCGTCGCGCACAAGCTCACCTCCCGCTACGATGCCTTCGAAACGTGCGTCTCCGTTGCTGGCCGTGATTGTTGTTCCGACGATTTTGTGGTAGTTTCTTGTCTGTGAGTATTGCTCTAAAATCAGCTAAGCTTGCTGCATGCAGATCCCGGGTGACAACTCTGGAGACTGGAGCGACGCAGGTGTTCCGCTTTGCTGGGCGCAAAAGCAGGTTAGATGAGCGGATGCTTTGTCTGTCGTGGCAAATTTTCTGTTGGATTCCACCGGAACTTGAGCTAATCAGTCGGCTACAGCAGCGGCGACGTGAGAGTGAGACCGATGCATCGGAAGGCGCTGCTGGAGGCGCTCGCGGAGGAGCTGCCTCCGGGCACCATCAGGTTCTCGTCCAAGCTCGCCTCGATCGCCACAGAGAAGGCGCAGGATTCCCCGGAGATCGCCGTCCTACGGTTAGACGACGGTACGGTGATCCGATCCAAGGTACACCAATGGCCGCAGCGACGCACATCGGCACATGTGACATGTGAAAATTAGTACGTATTGACTTTTTTTCTTGGAAGAATGACTATCATAAGTGGGTTTGCATGTTCATTAATTTGACCAGGTGCTGATCGGGTGCGACGGGGTGCACTCCGTGGTGTCGCAGTGGCTGGGCCTGTCGGAGCCGGCGAGCTCAGGCCGGTCCGCCGTCCGCGGGCTCGCCGTGTACCCGGACGGCCATGGCCTCAAGAAGGAGCTCCGGCAGTTCCTCTCGGAGGGTCTCAGGGCCGGCATGGTGCCCATCAGCGACACCGATGTCTACTGGTTCCTCGTCAACAACACCATCCCGGCAGAGAAGGAGGCCGGCACGGACCCCGCCAAGATCCTGCGGGAGGTCACGGACAACCTGGGCAGGCTCATGCCGGCGGAGTACCTGGACGTGGCGCGCCACTCCGACTCCGACAACCTGTCGTGGGCGCCGCTGCTGTACCGCGCCCCCTGGGCCATCCTCAGGGGTCCGGCGGCCCGCGGGCCGGTCACGGTGGCCGGCGACGCGTTCCACCCCATGACCCCCGACATGGCGCAGGGCGGGTGCTCCGCGCTGGAGGACGCGGTGGTGCTCGCGCGCGCTTTGTCTCGGGCGGCCACGCCCGCCGACGGCGTGGCCTCCTACGTGGCAGAGCGGCGTGGCCGGGCTGCCTGGCTGGTCGCCGGGGCTTACCTGTCGGGCTGGGTCCAGCAGGGCGGGACCAACGTCCGGGGCGTGCGAGGGTACATGGTCAGGCTGTTTCGCGACTGGATCTTTTACAGGTTCTTGTTCCCCAGGCTAGCCGATACAATGTGGTTCGATTGCGGCGACCTGGTGGAGCCAAACGCGGAGGGCAAGACCCACTCCGAGTAAACTAAATGCCATATTGCGTTATACTTCCTCCGCCAATGATGTGTTATATAGCCCGTGCAGACGTGACCTTACCAATTCACATGAAAATATGTGTGTTTTTTATAGTACTACTTCATATTAATTATCGTTGATTTAATACAAGACTTCACTCTATATTACGTAATAATGTCCACTTATATTATCAAAGCATCTTAAGTTGGAGAGTTTTCTGTCATTTTTCTTTGTTGAGTTACAGATTTCTAAATCGTTATTTAGCTTCAGCGTGTTTTTGTGTGAGTTCTAGTACTGCCAGTGTTCATGTATGCTTGTTGTATGCATGTATATCGAAATTGCATAGGAGCACTCGGCGACGCCGCGCATCCGAACCTCAACCCCCCATGCGTCTCGGGATCCTTAATCACTATATTAGCCTCATAGTATTCTGAGTCGTATCCTCTCGTCTTTTCCTTTATTATTTGCGCAATTTGTCTTTAATTCCACGTGCTTTTTGCATCCATATGCTAAAGGTTATGTCTCTTGCAGTGTACGAACTGACCTACCAGCAGCCAACTACCCCAAATCTAATTCAATGCATGCTTAGGAGCTCCTCTTCCTCCCAACTGCTCCATCCATCTCCCCTCGACTCCGGTTCTTGCCCACCATGGACACTGCTCATGTTCTTCTTCCTCTCTCTACTTTTTGCTCTTGGTCTTCTCCTTCAGCAACGTGGACGTGGAAAAAACCAGGACGAATTAGGAAGACTACGTCGCCACATGGAACATCGTTGGAGAGGGACGAGGTAGTTGTCCGAGCTTGCCGCACCCCGTGTGGACACGCCCAACTGCCAATGACACGACGTCCATCCTAGCCGCTGAAACCAAGTCAGGCTTTCACGCGGCCAGCGAGAAACGTCTTATGAAGGAAGCCAGCAGGACCTCTATGCCGTCAATGACGAGCAAATTGATCGAGCCATCGTCCAAGCTTGCCATGTCCTACGCGGCAGTGGCCAGCAACACCGCGTCTTCCCTCGCTGCTAGCACCATGGCTTGACTTCCTACAAACCCAACGGTACTGCATCCACGATAAGAATTGGTCTCTTCCCAAGCCGCGTATACGTCATCTGCTTCCGGGTCGTCTCCGTTGACGTCAAGTTCCACATGGACGTGCTTGATAACCCACAAGTATAGGGGATCGCAACAGTTTTCGAGGGTAGAGTATTCAACCCAAATTTATTGATTCGACACAAGGGGAGCCAAAGAATATTCTAAAGATTTGCACAAAATTATATATTTCCCTTAAGGCAACTTGTTTCTTATGAGCGGGAAAATATTTAGAAAATAAGTAATAAATCATATCCTGGGGACTACGCACTCAACCAGGAGCAAGAGAATTAAACCATGTTTTAGCATCACCCTTTAATGAGAACGGAAATAACTTAAGGATATAGTAGTAACAAATTTTTTCCTCATGAGTGAATAGGGTGGCTATATCATTCAATTTAATAAGATGTGCCACAATAGTTTCAGATTCATAGCCATAAAAAGGATCAGATTCAACCAAAGTAATTAACTCAGGATCGACAGAGAAATCATAATCCTTATCAGAAATACAGATAGGTGAAGTAGCAAAAGCAGGGTCATATTTAATTCTAGTATTCAAAGACTTTTCTTTCAGATTAGCTAACAGTTTCTTAAGATCATGTCTATCTTTGCAAGCAAAAAGGTCTCTAGCAGTTTCTTCATCCATAACATAACCCTCAGTCACATCAGGCAATCATATATAGGGGGAGAATCTTCATCATCACTTTCATCAATATTATCTATTTCAATAATTTCATTCTCTCTAACCCTAGCATGTTGTTCATCAAGAAATTCACCTAATGGCACAAGTATTATCAAGCATAGAAGTAGTTTCATCATAAGAATCATGCATAGCAGAAGTGGCATCATCAATAAAATGCGACATATCAGAATCAATAACAGGTGTAGGTGTCGCAAATTTACTCATAACAGAAGGTGAATCAAGTGCAGAGCTAGATGACAGTTCCTTACCTCCCCTCGTAGTTGAGGGAAAAATCTTGGTTCTTTCATCTTTCAAGTTCCTCATAGTGATCAACAGATATAAATCCCAAGTGACTCAAAGAATAGAGCTATGCTCCCCGGCAACGACACCAGAAAATAGTCTTGATAACCCACAAGTATAGGGGATCACAACAATTTTCGAGGGTAGAGTATTCAACCCAAATTTATTGATTCGACACAAGGGGAGACAAAGAATATTCTCAAGTATTAGCAGTTGAGTTGTCAATTCAGCCACACCTGAAAGACTTAATATCTGCAGCAAAGTATTTAGTAGCAAAGTAGTATGGAAGTAACGGTAACGGTGGCAAAAGTAACAGTAGCAGTTTTTGTAGCAATCGTAACAGTGGCAACGGAAAAGTAACTAAGCAAAGATCAATATGTGAAAAGCTCGTGGGCAATGGATCAATGATGGATAATCATGTCGGATGTGATTCCTCATGCAACAGTTATAACATAGGGTGACACATAACTAGCTCCAGTTCATCAATGTAATGTAGGCATGTATTCCGAATATAGTCATACGTGCTTATGGAAAAGAACTTGCATGACATATTTTGTCCTACCCTCCCGTGGCAGCGGGGTCCTATTGGAAACTAAGGGATATTAAGGTCTGCTTTTAATATAGTACCGGACCAAAGCATTAACACTTAGTGAATACATGAACTCCTCAAATTACGGTCATCACCGGGAGTGGTCCCGATTATTGTCACTTCGGGGTTGCCAGATCATAACACATAGTAGGTGACTAGCGACTTGCAAGATAGGATCAAGAACTCACATATATTCATGAAAACATAATAGGTTCAGATCTGAAATCATCGCACTCGGGCCCTAGTGACAAGCATTAAGCATAGTAAAGTCATAGCAACATCAATCTTAGAATATAATTGATACTAGGGATCAAACCGTAACAAAACTAACTCGATTAGATGGTAAATCTCATCCAACCCATCACCGTCCAGCAAGCCTACGAAGGTATTACTCACGCACGGTGGAGAGCATCATGAAATTGGTGATGGAGGATGGTTGATGATGACGATGGCGACAGATTCCCCTCTCCGGAGCCCCGAACGGACTCCAGATCAGCCTTCCCGAGGAAGATTAGGGCTTGGCGGCGCCTCTATATCGTAAAATGCAATGAATCCTTCTCTCTGTTTTTTCTCCTCGAAAGTGAAATATGGAGTTGGGGTTGAGGTCGGTGGAGTCCTAGGGGGGCCACCTTACCTCAACGGGGATATGCATGTCCCCAACAATAAGAATATCATATTTTTTTTCTTAACAGTAGGAAGAGGGAATTCAAAACCTCCAATAATAATCGTTGAAATTTTTCCAATAGAATTGATACTGTGGACTTGAGGTTGTTTCCTCGGAAAGTGTATCGTATGCTCATTACCATTAACATGAAAAGTGACATTGCCTTTGTTGCAATCAATAACAGCCCCTGCAGTATTCAAAAAGGGTCTACCAAGGATAATAGACATACTATCGTCCTCGGGAATATCAAGAATAACAATAGTAATGTTAGCAACCACAACAGGCACATCCTCACAAATACCGACATGTATAGCAGTTGATTTATCGACCATTTGCAAAGATATTTCAGTAGGCGTCAACTTATTCAAATCAAGTCTACGATATAAAGAGAGAGGCATAACACTAACACTGACTCCAAGATCACATAAAGCAGTTTTAACATAGTTTCTTTTAATGAAGCATGGTATAGTTGGTACTCCTGGATCTCCTAGTTTCTTACGCATTCCACCTTTAAAAGTATAATTGACAGGCATGGTGGAAATTTCAGCTTCCGGTATCTTTCTTTTATTTGTAACAATATCTTTCATATACTTAGCATAAGGATTCATTTTAAGCATATCAGTCAAACGCATACGCAAAAAAATAGGTCTAATCATTTCAGCAAAGCACTCAAAATCCTCATCATCCTCTTTCTTGGATGGTTTAGGAGGAAAAGGCATGGGTTTCTGAACCCATGGTTCTCTTTCTTTACCGTGCTTCCTAGCAACAAAGTCTCTCTTATCATAACATTGATTCTTTGATTGTGGGTTATCAAGATCAACGACAGGTTCAATCTGAAGAAGAGAGTCTCCCACAAGCTTGGGGGAGGCTTCTCCGATTACTTAATGCTTTGCCTAATCATCCTTTCAAGAAAAATGAAATACTTGATATCTTTTATAATGGTCTAATTGATGCTTCCAGAGACCACCTGAATAGTTGTGCTGGTTGTGTTTTTGGGGAAAGAACTGTTGAGCAAGCTGAGTTGCTATTAAATAATATATTGAGTAATGATAATGATTGGACACTTCCTGAACCAACTCCTAAGCCAACTCCGAACAAAAGGGTATTCTCTTTCTCAGTCCTGAAGATATGCAAGAGGCAAAGAAATCTATGAAAGAAAAGGGTATTAAAGCTGAAGATGTTAAGAATTTACCGGCTATTGAAGAAATACATGGTCTTTATAACCCGACACAGGTAGTAAAGGTAAATTCTCTCTATAGATTTGATGAAGGTGATATTCCTCGTAATAAGTCTGCTAGCCAATGCTTGGATGAGTTTGATAATTTTATTGTTAAATAAGAAAACTTCAATGCTTATGTTGGTAGATAATTGAAACATAATACTTATATGGTTGAACACTTGAGTGATTATATGTCTAGAGTTAAAGGTGACCTTAAACTTATTAGTAAACATGCTTCTATGGTTACCACTCAGGTAGAACAAGTTCTTAAAGCTTAACATGATTTGCTCAATAAATTAAATAATAAGAAAAATGATAATGCTTTTAGAGTTATGACTAGAGGGGGTAGAATGACTCAGGAACCTTTGTATCCTGAGGGCCACCCTAAGAGAGTTGAGCAAGATTCTCATAGAACTAATGTTGATACACCTAGTCCTTCTAAGAGCCTAGTGTTATTCGAAAATTCT